TGCAGTATTGGAGCAAATAAAAGAATATTTAGTGAGCAGTTTAACAAAAAAACATAATAAATAATAAAAAAGTAATAGAAGAATTTAATAAACTGCTTACAGAAAAAAAAACTCTTTTCTGTTCATCACTGATTTGAACAGAATTTTTATTATTGACAAAATAACAACTAACAAAGAAAACAAAGACCCTTTATTTTTTATTAGAACTAGGGCAAAGGCTCTTGTTCCTAAGAAATGTAGACTTATACCACTTAATCATCGAAAACACAAAAGAGTTTTACTTGAAACAAACTTCCTTCTAAATAAGCAAAACATGAAATACGAAACAAGTTTTCTTTCAAATAACAGCACAAACTAGAATGAACAAGTAAAGCAAGAACTAAATAGAAGTGCTATCTTGGCAACAGGACAAGAAAGCAACACTGCAAAAAAAAACAACAATGAAAGCCTAAAAGCTAAAACTATTGAAAAAGATAATGCTATGAGCAGCAAACTGACAACAACAAAGACACGTATACAAGAAGCATCATATAATAATAAACAAAAAAGTCACATGGCTGATGCAGAAACACGTACTAAAGCACAACCTGATGTATATAGTAAAGCACATGCCAATCCATATGTCAAAATACATGCTAACACAGATACACCCCAAGGAGGCAAAAAGCAATAGTCTAGCCTTTTTGCAAAATTAAAAAGAGGGCAGTCTACATACTCTGTCTCATTTCTTAAAAATTCTATTAAGTCAAAAAATGATAATGCTTTGATGTTTGATATCAGAAGCTTAAACTACTCCTTTAATGAAATTATGATTTCTTTATATGAACATGTAGGACAAGATGTAATCACTGCAAAACAACATTTTGCCAAAGGTGACAGAACATACTTAGAACTAGCTTTTGCTAATAATGAACAGCTTAAACACTATGCCAGCAAAGGCATAATAATTTTTAATCAAACCTATTATAGATTCATTCCTACAGATAATAGAAAATCATTTCTGTCTATCAAGGTCAGAAATGTACTACTTAACAACAAAGAATGAGTTTCTAAAGCAATTTTGGAAACCTTTGAAAACTTCAGAAAAATCACAGCTATTAAACCACTTCTTATTGAAGGAACTTCTTATGCAACTGACCAATAGGTTATAATCTTTGAGACAACTGATGATCCAGAACTCGAAGCAAGAATCTCATACTATACCTTTTTATGGGACAACAAAGTCACAACTGAATAGAAATTAGCTCCTAAGGTCTGCTTCTTTTGTGACAAGGAAGAGCATCTAAAAAAATACTATAAGCAATTTAAAGAAGCAGTCAAACTTAGACAACAATACAAGAAATACTAAGAGAATAAAACCAAAAGGGTATTAGAACCTCTACACAATGTTCTGAAATCTTCCAATATGCAAAACAAACTACCAAATGAAGCAACTCTCTGAAAAAAGAATTCAGCTACTTAAGAATGTGAAATTATTGCAGTTATTATTTCACAATTCAATGAAGAATCTCTTGCTTAGGCTAGCAACCAATCTGATTTAGAAATGGATAACAATGAACTCCCAAATCAACAAGAAGTTTTATCAGATATGGATAAAAAAAACTTAGTTACTCCTAATCAGCAACAACAAGCTGGAAGTCAATTGACTACATACCAAACTACCTCTCTTCTCGACCTTGAGGAAAAGAACTAGAATTTATTTTAGTTATCAATAAGCAAAAAAAAGTTAAAAGAAGCTCTTAAAAAAGCAAGAAGAAGACAAACCCTATTTAAAACTAAAATTCTGAATAGAAATAAGACCTCTGAAAATATACAAATCCCTTTTTTATCTAAACAATAACTAAATCAAAATTAACAACAGCAACCCTAAATGTTAAGGGGCTCAATAACAAACAAAAACAAAGAAACACTCTAACATTATTAAAATCATATAAATTGGACATTATTCTTTTACAAGAAACAAACCTTAGCAACAAAGACACTAGAGAATTCTTGCAACAACAATGGCCTTTTGACTCAATTTGGTCAAGTAAAGCAGCAATTCTAGCAGGAAATAAAAATATCTTATTTAGAGACAACAAAATTGAACAAAACAGAAGAGTTATTACAACAACTACATTATACAAGAACCATACTCTCAAAATCACAAATGTATATGTACTACCAAATCAATCTGATAGAATTCTTTTTTTCAACTAGTGAACTCTAACAATAAATCCAGAGGCAATAAATATAATTGGTAGAGACTTTAATACAAATATTTATCCAGATAGAGATCAAATTAGTGCTTCACTAGCTCAAAAAGACATTTTAAGGACTTTGCTTTTAGAAAATCTTAAGAACTTTACAGATATCACTTCGGTCTTAGAAAACATACCTCTCCTTACCTTCTTCCAAAAAACTTAAGGAAATAGAACTATGGCCTCTCACCTTGATTATATCTTTATTGATAAGAATCATTCACACTTAGCTACAAAGCTAAACATCTTATACAGTAATTCAGATCACAAATTAGTGAAATGCATCTTCAATTTTCAACAAACTTTAAGTAAACAAACAATTTGAAAATTTGATAAAAGAAGCCTCTCAAACACTCTGCTCAAGAAGGATCTAAGAGAAGAACTACAAGAAGCAATAAATAGCAATAATTGGAACTTTACTAAGATCCAACTACAATCAATTATTAGAGCTTACAAAAAGCCCAAAGCAACTGAAAACAATATCATGAAGCTTAAAAAAAAAATTACAGATCTTAATAAGAGACTAGCAAACAATCCATCTAACAACAGTTTACAAACATAAGCAGATGATTTAAATTATTAACTGCAGAAAAAACTTACTAACATAGCAAAAAAATGGCAGATATACTCAAAAGCAAAATAGATTGAGCAAGAAGAAAAATCAACCAAATATTTCTTTACCAGATACAAAATGAGAAAAATATATATAGCACTATCTGAAATAAAGATTCCTAATACATTAACACAAAATGAAGATGATATTTTGAAATACATTAAAGACCAGTATACCGAAATCTACAGCCAAGAAGAAGTAAATTTTGAAGACATTAATGAAATTACAAAGAACATCAAGCAGGTCATGAATCAACAAAACATTTCACTTACTAAAACTTTCTCAAAAGAAGAAATTACAGAAGTAATCAAGAGGCTTCTAAACAACAAATTGTAAAAATAGAATCTGTGCCTGGTTTATAATCATGTGATGCGGATCAGGTAATATTCAATGAACCTGTGCATATTTATGCATGTACATGCATATAATGATAATCTGTATTACATATAAATTACTGAATTAGTCTATTCAATAAATAAAAGTATTATAGTATTAGCAATAACAACCAATTCGATGATATTAGTAGAAACAAAAGATCTTACTAAATACTTTGTGATTTTGATATAACAGCATACTGATCTGTTATTAAACTTATTATCTCGATAAAATAAAATAAACTCCTTAGTATTTTTATGATAATATTATAAATGAATTAAGCTTAGATATAGAACTTCAAATTCTATTTAACAATACAATACATATAAGCATCAGGCCAAATAAGTGCTGTTGGTTAAAAGCTTTAAAACCATATATATAATTATAGGGCTATTATCTTAGTAGTCTTAGTATGAATTTTCTTATAAACAAAGTAAATAAGTATCTATATTTACTAAAATAAGATAAATAAATACTATAGTGATAGCTTTTTTTGAATAAATTATAAACCATTCCTAAAGCTTTAGATATTATCTGATAAATAGAGCTAAAAATACATCATGCTAATGATTAATAATAGTATAGCCAAACTTAATTAATATCATTCTGACCCAAATTCTAGATAATCAGACATTTATTCTACTGTCTTAAATAATAGTAGAACTATGAATAATGGTATTGTTAATAATTATTTATTAATAATATTATTAATTTCAATTATTGTTAAAAATTTCTCTGTCATTACAAAAAATCATAATAAAACTTAAAATTCGAATTTAGAAGATAATGACAAATCTATTCATAAACAATGAAACTATTCCAATACTTAGATATTTTTGATAATTATATTTTTATATTATTAAATGTATAAATTAAATAACACCTTTTTAGATAGTTTTGCTTGGTTTATTGCACACACATTATTAAATAATTTTTTAGTTAATAACTCAACTGAATAGTTAATAATAATTATTAATAATTTAAGAGATCCTAGCACTAAATTTTAATATAATATGTATATGCTATATAATAAAATAGAACAATTAAAGTAATTAAGGTATAGACTAAATAGCATAAATAGAATCTATTAGTAAAAGCAGCTTGACATGAAAATTGTTACACAAAATATGTATGTCAACAATTAGAATATTCATAATATTGAAAAGAAAAGTTAGTGATCAATCAAAAAAAAAAGATAAAATAATACTTATCTTTAGTCTTGTATATTGAATCCTAGTAATTAGTTAATCGAAATTATAGTAAAAGATCTAAAGTAATTAATGATGTAATTTATTATAAGTAATTAAAGTTAAAGATAGAATATATGATTAATTACATAATTGATATAATTGGTTTGAAGTTTAATTTAGTCAAATATATAGAAAAATTAAAAAAAAAATAGTTATAATTCAGTTTTAAATAATACTAATAAAATTGACAAAATCCTTACCTTCATAAGAATTTTGTAATTCTATCTCTATCAGCCATTAAACATATTTTAGGTTATTGAGAATCACAACATTCATTAATAGATTTTATCTCTCAATAAAAAATTAATTACCTACTATGTACATACAAGCAATTAAATAACTACATATAGTGGAATTTGAATTTAAACTCAGAATCACACAAAATTACAAAACCATGTTATTTTTACCTAATAATTGTATCATAAAATTTTTGTTTTTTTTTTTTTTTTTGAAAAAAAAAATACTAGTTGCTATTAATCATTCTTCTTATCAACAATACTTGCAAAAAATTTTCTTGCTAAAATGAAGTTAGATTTAATATTAAACATAACTAAAACAGATATACCCAATATTGATATATCATATACTCTTAATATTTTACAGACCCATCTTACTATTCTGTGTAATGTTCTGCCTCAAAATTATAATTATATTATTGATTCATTTGAAGCAGCTCAACCTTATAACTTTTTAGGCATACAGGAAGAACCATTCAAGTTAAAATTTAGTATAAATACTTGTACAATTGATAGTACCAAGACTTGGTTTGATGAGTTTACTAACTTATACAAAGTAACTATATGAGAGACTTAAGGATGAACAATTAAAGATGCATGCTTTCTTCTATCTACACATTATCATTGCATCTACAGTTATGTAATAAAATTAAAACAAGAAAAAAAAGTTATGATCTAAATACTGAAACTGTGAATAATTAAAAAGTAATTAGTACATGTACAAGGGATACTAATTGCACTGCAATATTCAGTTTACAACTACAAAACAAGTATAATACTCATCTATACATAGTATTCATGTTGTTTCATCATAATCATCCTCTCATATCAGGACATGTTACAGGCTTTTATTCTGTATCTAATGAGACAAAACAAGCATTCTATGAACTTTTTCATATTGGACATAATCCAGCTAGTGCATATCACACATATTTAGAAGAAATGCAATTGAAATATGAAAATGACAAGGAGATTCTGGCAGATAGGACTATTTGCCCATACAAATATAATGTTTATTATCTTCATGAAAAATTTCTTAATATATTTGTTAATGCAAAAAATAAAAAAGAGATGTTTAGTTGTTTGGCTAAGAAGGTTACAAAATTTAATTATAATAAAAAAGAAAGTGCCTGGATGCAGCCTTATGTTGCTTCAATGGAGACTGATTCTGGTCAACCATTTATTCTTATTATTTTAACTAATCTAATGAAGCACTGTCACATTTTACAACAAGCTAGAGAATTAATATTTATGAATACAACAGCAAGTCTTGATGTTCTTAATATGCCATTAACTATTATTTCAATCAGTACACTAGTTGGTAACTTACCTCTAGCTGTAATACTCACTTCAGATGAAACAACTCAAACTTTCACAAAAGCCTTAAGTGCGCTAAGAAATATGTTGCCTTCAGGTGCTTTTGATAGGTGTAGACCTACAATTGGATTGCAAGTTATTATAACTGACGATTGCAATACAAAAAGAAAGTATTACATTATACTTAGAAAAAAGCAACTTTGTTATTGTGTGTTTTTCATTTTTTGCAAGTGGCATAAAGATGGTTGTAGGATGGCAAACATGGTATCAATATTGTTGATCATGTTACCCTTATTGAGCATTTAAAAAAAATTATTTTTTCTAAGACTAAATTTATGCTAGAAAAAGAACATATGTTACTTATAACTAGTGAAATATACCTTAAATATCCTCAATTTCAAAAGTATTTTGAAGTAGCATAGAATAGGCATAAAGAATAAGCCATTATATTTTATCACAACTTGCTAATCTGAAATAATAATATGAATAATTTTGTGGAGGCCAGGATTAGAATCATTAAGGACATTGTCTTTAGAAGAATACAGCATTTAATTTAGTACAAATTTTTAATTTTGTTATTAGTACAATGGACCTTTACTATACTCGAAAATTACTAGCAGTAGCTCATAATAAATTAGATGGTTTTATTGCACTTCGTTTTTGACTCTCAGGCTAGAAAGTTGGATTGAAAGAAGATATTGAGATAGTAAATTTAGATTTGATAGTTTTTAAGCATAAGAGTAATAAAAATAAGGATACATAGTATGTTGTTAACATGTGACTTGGAGTTTGTAAATGTAATCAGATGGGAGCACCATGCAATCACCAAAATTCAATAGCATTTCACTATAATGTCTGTAGCTTGAACCAAATACCTACAATGTCAGTAAGCAGTAGATACCATTATGCTTATCTGGCATTGAGTGAAAAATGCAAAGAGATTAACTTTTATACTGATCTTTATCAAGCACAATATGATCAAAAGTTTGTACACACAATAGTAGAATCTGTGTTTGTGCCTATATTTACATCTTTTACGAATGTTGACAATAATTTAGTTAATAGTGAAGATTACAATAATTATAGTGCTTTAAACAATGAAGATATACTCTCCAAATTTGTGTCCTTAAGTAATAGTGAAAATAATATTAAGAATTATAATAATAAAAATGAAAATGATTTCAATCTCCATCAATCAGCAATAGATGAATTATGTTGGTTTAGCCAGGATCTAGAAAATCTTCTTGAGGAAAAGGATCTCATGTTGGATAAAATTATATGTAAATTTGTCAGAAGCTACAAAAAGCATTGTTTAATACAAGACACCTATGTTCATCTAGCAGTAGTTTCTTTTCTTGAAACCTGTGAATGGAATTCAAGTAAAGTTAATAGCAGTAGTTATCAGCATATAGGTAAAAGAATTAATGTGCAAGTTGCTGCAACTACCAGATGTAAAAAAGGATCATCTCATGAGCTTAGAAAAATGCCACAAGGATGACCAAAAAAAATAAGAAAAATTATTCACATAAAATTAAACAGAAAAAAGAATTAAATCAGTTTATTATGCTTGCTCGATCTAAGAAATTATATATGAAACATCCATACAATTTATAGCAGGCTTTGAAAGAAACTCAGCTCAATGGATATTAAGTATAATAATTAATAGTTAAAAAATTTATTATCATAAAAAATATTAAAATATGAACAATATATTTAATTCTATCTATTAATAGTAATTAAATAAATTATATCATATTTTGATAATAATTTTTTTAACTATATTGATCAAATTAATTAATTGCTTTTATATTAAATAGGTTTTAAAGATCTTATAATATTTAGTACATTTTATTTACTGCAAATCAAAGGCTTTTTGAATTTTTTTTTAAAAAAAAATACCTGAGATTCATGTAAAATTTTTACAATTAATTTGACCAGTTTATGTGAATCAATAAATTTTCGTCTAAATAGAATTTCAAGTATATAACAGAAAGCAAATAATATGCTTAATGCTATAATATTCTTAGTTTTATAGTATTAGTTATAAAAGATTATCTATAGTAATATTATGACAGGATGAAACCTAAGTTGCGAAATAGTGAAATCTGCTTTGTAGATCAGGTTAGGAGTAAAATTTGCATTTTGTTTTGGTTTTTATTATATAAAAGTGGATTTTACCCTCATGTGATAATCATAGCAGATTTCACTATTTCGTAATTCAAGTTTTATTCTGTTGTATAATATTGATATTAAAAATTACATGCATGTATGTATATGCATAAATATGCACAAGTTTATTGAATATTATCCAATCTACATTATATGATAATAAACCAAGCATAGATTCTATTTTTGCCTTGTTGAGATTTGAAAAAAATAGTATATATTTTAGAATATTTAGTAATTATAGACTAAGAATCAGTGAAGATATTGATTGTTGAGTTGCAAAGGATGATTAAAATAGCTGAAAAAATTGACATTAGTTCAGCTTTGTAAAAAAATAGTTAGAAATAGATTTTAGCTGAGAATTTGTAAATTATTTGGTTAAAATAATTAACTTGTACCTATCCAATACCCATTGTATATTGATCTGTACTAATGTCGATTACAGAGCCATTAGTATAGAAATTAAATGTATTTTGTACTGTATTGATAAGAGAATATTGTTTAAGTATATATGTAGCTACTTCTTGCTTAAAAATTTCTAATATAGAGGAGTCGGAAATATAGATAGAGATAATGGATGTTTAATCACAATTAAATGAATTAGATTAATATAGTTTGCATTAAAATTGAGTGCATTAGAAGAAATTCTTTTAAGAAATTGTATAGAAATTATTGATAATATATTAATTGTGTAGTAATTTGCAACTTTATGAAAGTTAAGATAGCAATTTGTATAAACTGAATATTGAATTAATAGGAAAGAGTAATAAGTAGAAAGTTCTGTATTAATATTTGTATTTCAGTGTATAATAGATATTTGATTGTCATTTTAAAATATCTGTAAATTTTGCTAATAATAATAATATTATTATTATATATTAGTAACTAGAGGTTAAGTCTTTTAGAGATATGTTAAGAGTTGTAAGTAAAAAGATTATGTCTAGTTTGTTGATATTGTGAAAGTAATATTCTAGAGCTGTTGTTAGTAGTTATAATATTTTCTAAACATGTAAATCAAGATGGTTTACGTCTTTTAAGTAGCTGTACTAAACAAGATAAAAAATGATTTTATTGAAGTAAGGTAGTATTGTCGGCAATGCAAAGTTGTTCAAGATACAAGATATTAAGTTTTTTAAGTTGTTTTTTGAAGGTAGTATATTGAGGATAGGAGGACATGATTGGTTCTAGTGGTTGAAGATTGTATTGTATAGTATTAGGCCAAGATATACTATTATTAGCTGTTATATACATGTTAATATATATAATAAGTTGAATAATTTTAAAGTGTAAAGTATATCTGTTAGGTCCATTAATATTAGATTGGAGATGTTGTAATATATTTGTAGTTGATCAGAGATTATTTTGTAATTGTTGTAGTTAAATATGTGTAAAAGTTCTTAGTAAATGAGAGTTGTTAATTTGTAAAATAAAGTTAGATATATAATATTAAAGCTGAATGTTCTAGATATTATATATATTATATAGGAATAGATTAAGCATAACAGTATTGTTATGAGACAGCTTTGGACATAACTTTGGACATTTTTAAACATTTTTAAACAAAAATATAAATTAAAATTACTTATAATTTTATTAAAATAATATATATACTTTCTAAATGAAAAATATTTAGGACCTAAAAAAATATATAATTATATATTTTTTAGACAAATTTATTAATTATTAAAGCTTGGACATGCTTTGAACACTCTTGAACACTTGAACATTTAGATGTTGAACATGGTCTAAAAAAGTCTTGGACATAGTAGACATGATAATACTAAAGCATAATGCTGTTTGGAATAGAATGAGCTAGATGAAATTTATGTTTGGTTATAGTTAAATATTTAGCTAGAATTTTGTTGTATACAAAATGAAGAAGGACTATATTGTGTATTCTGTATTCTAGTGTAGAAATAAAAAATGTATTGATAATATAAATTATTTGTTTATCTGTGATTTTTTTGATACTAGCAATGTTTGTAAGTTGAAATATTTCTTCTTGAATTAGTTTAATTTGTGTAGTTTGTTTGTTGTTAAGTGTAAACTAGCAGTTAAGAAATTTAAAACATTGATTAGCTGGAATAGATATGAGTATAAAGTTAAAAAATTGAATAATAGTTTGAGGTTAATTTGATATAATGATAGATTTAGAGAAATTGATTTAAATATTAGCCATTCGGTAAAAGAATGTTGCAGTTTGAAGTGTCTTTTCAAGTTCTAATTTAGATTAAGATATTCAAAATATATTGTCTATATAGGCCAAAACAGAGGTAGATGTATTGAGATTTTGGGTTTTAAGTAGAAAAAAGCTAGTTGCTATATTGTAGATAATGTATAACCTTTATGCTATAATGCGAATTGTAAATAAGTGGATTATAGTATATTTGTTAAAAAAGAGAAGTAATAGTTTTATTTTGGTTTATTCTATTTTTAACTGAATAAAAATCAGTAAGACCAAAGTTTGTAATTATGCTGTTTTGACAATCTGTAAGTAAATTAACAAGTATATTAATCAGTTTGGATAGTATATTGATATGATTAAGAGCTTTTTCAAATAGGTTCAAGTTGACTAAGTCATAAGTTTTGCTTATGTCTTGGAATATAAGCCAAAGTTTCTTGAAATTGCAACATACATCTTCAATGATATTGTTGAGTATATAAATAGAGATAATGATACTATTGTCTAGAAGGGCAACATAGTTGTAAAGTAAAAGTATTTTGAATTTTATAAAGGTATAGATAGTTTAAGCAATTTGTAAGCAGTTTAGTGTATAGTTTTTTAGTATACTCAAGAAGACTAATAGGTCTGATGTTGGTAAGATTACTATCAAAGATTGATTTTTTGAAAATTAGAAAATTCTGCCTTCTTTCTATTGTTTGGATATATAGTTTGTAAAGATA